AATTTTTGCAAAACTAGCTAGGGATTGATTTCAAAATATTTTTGTATACTATATATACCACAGTGTTGCTGAATATTGTTGGCAAGTTCAAGTTCAACACAACTCTGTTCTTAACTTCACATCATATTTTCTGAAATATAATATGAACAGACCCTAATCCATTGTAGTGACGTACATAATGTGCGTATATTATTCATCTAGATTTATGTATTAGCAATAGAGGAAATAAACAATCCTACACTTACTCAAACGCGCTACTTAAACTTACGCACTTAACTTTGTAATTACGTAAAACTACTCAAACTCCAAGTACATTATCCGCTTTGTAATAACTGCATCTTGTTTAGCAAAATATATAAAAAGCCTGTAAATAAATTGTAACCTATAGAATACTCACGACTGTTGTAAATAACTTCTTCGCTAGTGAATAAAATAATCACAAAATTTAATAGCGTTCTAGTACATTGAACTCACGTTCGAAGCTCATACGAAAGACTTATATAACGCTTAACGATTTCCTGGGACTAAACAGCCTAAACTCAATTCATAATAGGAGAATCTTGTTGATTTGTTGATGCAAGACATGCACATCTCGGAAAGTGTCACACAGTGTAATGCATTTACGTAAAAATAGAAATGATTGTACAGAGACAAACATCAACTAAAGCATGACGTAGTGGTAAAAAACTTTAACCAACTAAATGTAATCACACTGCAAGTATAGTAAAAGAAAATAATTGATCACTTACACGATGAAAACAATTATCTTGCTTACCGGCGGTCTCATGGAACCATTGAAATGTTTCCTTCTCTTGCACTTCTTCGGCAACCGTATATCACACAAGTTTTCAGCATGTTTTGTTGTTGAAATTTTATAGATTTTGCGTTTGGAATATTAAATACTTATGAAATTATTTATCATCGCATGAATACTATCAGTGTTGCCAGATGAAATTTAAATGTCGGCATGTTCGAAAGCTCACATATTATCCACCAATGTTCACAAATCGACAAAAATTGCCTAGTTTGCACCAAATGAATGAAATAAGCTAAGTCAAATGTAAATTTATAATGAAGATGATGCATATTGCACATTTGTACAATATAACAGAAAAATAATAATGAAAAACAATTATTTAGTTCAATTTACATTTGTCGCTTCAGTCAGAGTCTTGAGCATAAAGAATGTCGGGTGTCATGACTTAAAGCTTTGGTCGAAGAAGAATATTTGACACAGCCTCCTGACTCTTTCACTCCTTGCTTAACTTTTAGAGTACTGCAGACTGACTTTGTGTTCAACCTATTTCTTCCTTTAGTTTTGATTGCATTCACAGAAGAAAAAATTCTCTCCACATCAACATTGAAGAATGAATTCTGCTTGTCTCGAATCTCTAAACCAGTGTATGTTCATTGTAAACAACCTGGTCCTTTATAACTGATAAGTTCATAAAAAGTTTTTAATTTGTAGTAAAAGTTCATGAAATGTTCACAAAATTCTTTTTGTTCACAAAAATTCAAAATAAAAATCAAAAGTTCATAAATCTATGAACTTTGTTCACACTCTGACACTGAATACTATGGTTTAGTGTTGTTTGAAATCAGGAGGGAGAAAAAGTTTCCTTAGCATTAGCCTGTGCAACTCCGCTGACATTTTCGTCCAAAATTTGCCATATAAGGTATGGTGACATCCATATAAAATATAATAATTTGCAGTGATGGGCGATACCGCTAGAATCGATTCCATACGATAGCGATTACTTTTCCTTAAAAGTATCGAGGTATCGATTACTAAAGCGATTACTTTCTCCAATTTCGAAAATAAACGTCTGAGTCACTTGATAAAGATCTGATAATGGAATTGGTAAAGTGTGGCCTTATATACTTCAACAATACGACGAAATTTTTATTTTTCTTGTTTTAAATTACAAACTGTCATAACATTATTAGGAGTAACGATAAATTTTTAGAAGCTGTATAAATTCCAATTGAAAAAATTGGTTACATGTTATTATTCTGAAGGCGAGATCTCAAAGTGTATTGATTACTAAAAGTGAATAAAATATTAAAATAATAAAACAGAAAAAAAAACAGCATGTTTGTCAAAACCAATAATGAAAAGGAAGACAAACTTACATCATAATGAAATTTTAAAAGTGATCGAAGTCCTTTTTCGATACCAGGCAGTATCGACTACTTCCGGATTAGGCTCGGTATCGGGTGGTATCGATACCAAGTAATCGATAATCGCCCATCACTACACTTTACTATACTTTTGTATTACAAAATCACAGTTTTTGCGTTTTTATTCGTTCTACAAACTTTTGATTCGAGCAAAGTTTTGGTGAAAGGGACAGAACAATCGGCAAAGATATTTAATCCTAAAACGTTTGTCTTCTTGGCTTTATAATGGCAGAAAATTGAGATGGTACAAGGTCGACCTGCATTGTTTTGAAACAAACTGGAGTAATATGATGCTGCTGCTTCTTAGAAAATGTAGAAATATTACAGAATCCTACTACTGCTACCAAAATTTCATCTGCAACGACGTTTATAGAAGATTGCTACAAATTTACTTATTCAACAACAATTTGTTATTCACATCGCTAATATCACAATAATTTCAAATTACGTCTTTATTATAACAGTGAAGAAAAAATACAAATCGAAATAGAAAAATAATCAGAAAGACATTTTGATGAACAATAGTAAGTTGAAAACGGTATCATCTAACTCTACGAGATGTACATCATCGAATATGCGAATTAAAGTACCTCTGTTGTCATTAAGCGAAGCAAAGTTTTCAACCAGTTCCTATGTGAACAACTTCAACATTCGAATATCGATAAATATGTTGAAGATATGAATACCTTTGTTCTTACTTTGTTGTAAATATGTAATTTAGGTAGTTATCTTCTAAAAATGCCTCCCACGTTTGAAATTGTCCTCGTCACCTTCAACTTTCAAATTACAATAAAACTTGCCATTTTATTTTTCAGTCGTTACAAAGCCAAAAAAACAGAGCTTCAGGGTTGAAACTCTCGACCGGTTTACCTCTACATGTCATAAAAATTTTACCTTAATCAGAAGTTTGTAAAAAGAATAAAAACACGAAAACTGTGATTTTGTAATACAAAAGTATAGTAAGGTGGGACCGATACCCCCCATGAAGCCAGTAGCAAATGATCGATCTTCCGGCTTCAATTTTCGCAAGGGATGCGTTAACCAGTCTAATATACATATCAGCGGGTGGCTCAAACAGGGCTGAAATTCCAGCCCGGGCTAGAATTGTTCGCATGTAATCGCGTACGCTATTTTGATAAGATATTATAACAGGCCTAGGCTGAATTGTTCATAAGTTTTCAACTTACTATTGTTCATCGAAATATCTTTCTGATTATTTTTCTATGTCGATTTGTTTTGTTTCTTCACTGATATAATAAAGACGTAATTTGAAATTATTGTGATATTAGCGATGTGAATAACAAATTGTTGTTGAATAAGTAAATTTGTAGCAATCTTCCATAAACGTCATTGCAGATGAAATTTTGGTAGCAGTAGTAGGATTTTGTAATATTTCTACATTTTCTAAGAAGCAGCAGCATCATATAATCTCCAGTTTGTTTCAAAACAATGCAGGTCAACCTTGTACCATCTCAATTTTCTGCCATTATAAAGCCAAGAAAACAAACGTTTTAGGATTAAATATCTTTGCCAGTTGTTCTGTCCCTTTCACAGAAATTTAGCTCGAATCAAAAGTTTGTAGAACGAATAAAAACGTAAAAACTGTGACTTTGTAATACAAAAGTATAGTAAAGTGTAGTGATGGGCGATTACCGATTAGTTGGTATCGATACCGCCCGATACCGAGCCTAATCTGGAAGTAGTCGATACTGCGTGGTATCGAAAAATGACTTCGATCACTTTTAAAATTTCATTATTATGTAAGTTTGTCTTCCTTTTCATTATTGGTTTTGACAAACATGCTGGTTTTTTTTCTGTTTTATTATTTTAATATTTTATTCACTTTTAGTAATCAATACACTTTGAGATCTCGCCTTCAGAATAATAACATGTAACCAATTTTTTCAATTGGAATTTATACAGCTTCTGAAAATTTATCGTTACTCCTAATAATGTTATGACAGTTTGTAATTTAAGACAAGAAAAATAAAAATTTCGTCGTATTGTTGAAGTATATAAGGCCACACTTTACCAATTCCATTATCAGATCTTTATCAAGTGACTCAGACGTTTATTTTCGAAATTGGAGAAAGTAATCGCTTTAGTAATCGATACCTCGATACTTTTAAGAAAAAGTTATCGGTATCGTATCGAATCGATACTAGCGGTATCGCCCATCACTAGTAAAGTGAGACCGATACCCCCACGTAGGTCAGAATCAGATGAGCCAACTTCCGGCTTTAATAATCTTACCGCACCATGTATAAAATATATAAAATATATTTTATACATGGTGCGTTATCCAGTGTAATATACATATCAATGGAGCTACACTAGGGATGAAATTTCATCCCGGGCTAGAAATTGCTCCATGTAATCGGCCCCTTAGTTTCGTACAACCAAACATGAAAAAAGCTGATTTAATGCAGATTGATCCACTACAAAAGATCATTTTGAAAAAAGGTTTAGAAAAAATTGGTTTTAAAAGGAGATAAAAACCAATAAATTACTCGTTAAGGTATTAAACTAAGTTAGCTGTGAGTTTGGAAATTTCAAAAAGTTTAAACTTTAAATTACTTGATTGTATAAATTGAGATAGTTTTGAAACGATTTTTTCAACTTTAGGCCTTCAATATACCAGTACAAGATGAAATAAAGACAAAGTAGGTTAGGGCAATATCGATTAAAACATGAGCATGTGTACATAATATACATTCATAAATTACGTTCTTTCTTCATAAAAAGTTAAGTGCCTGGGCGAGAAAAATGTTCATAAAATCGCCACACGCAACGTCAAGACGTCACGTGACACGGAGATGTTACGTGAATACACTATCAGAGGTTATTGCCGCAGCCAGACGAAATTCGTCGCCAGCAAGAACGGAATACATACGTTGAGGACATGATCTGGAGTTTTTGCTGGGATGATTAGCATTCGTTCTGAATATAAATTCGCGTCCGGCTGGAGGAGGGAAAGGGTGCAACTCGTCCACAGCAGGTTTCTATCGAAACACATAGATGTAGGGTGAATAGATTGGCATTGAAAAGCATAAATACACCAAACTTAGATGGAAGAAACTTACCTTAACAAGTTCGTGGTTATCGTAATCTTGTTCTGCGGCGCGTAAATTCTAGAAAAAATACATGTTCTGGTAAAGCTCCTCAAAAAATCATCAAACATTACTGGAGGGATACCTACTAAATATTAACTAAATACAAACTAAATTATATATTAACTAAATCTTAACTAAATATTAACTGGAGGGATACCTAAATGAACGTTCTTTGGACTGCACATCGAAATGTTAGGACCAGTTAAATTTTGGCGGGAAGTAGCCTTCCCGTTTTATCCAGTTCAATGTTACAACATACAAACAGTCCATCCACTCAAATCTGCCAGCTTCGTCCCCTTTGACTTCTATTTTTTCTCTTTCGAATTTCAATTTTTAAATGCCGTGCACTTGCAATGGGTTGCCATTTTAAAACCACCTAAGGAAAACCTCATTGTCGAAACATCGGCTTCAAAGTAAAGTATTACCTGTTGTTCAGTGAAAAGTCTTGTGATCACGTGACCTATAGCACCGCGACTGGCACCAATTACTTTAACTTCCGGATTATCCAACAGTGACGTAACAAAAGCCTTATTCTCGGTCTCACTGAGATCAGATGCATGGAGTTTTGATTGCAAGGATTTTCTCCTGGCAATCCTTAATTCTATGTTCTGGAGATCCTTAAATAATTCCTGCATAAGAACATTAGAATTTTACAAGGGAATCTTATGAATGACAGCAACCCATCATGCACTGTGCATATGGTCGGCCATTTTGTGAAGCACAAAATCAACTGACAAGAATATTTGTGACTTAATCCTTTCGCACGCTGACCAAATTTTCTGTAATGAGACTGGGATTGACGCAGCGTTACCGCGAATAAATTTTTGCAATAACTTAATCTGGTATAGTAAAAAACAAATTCCAAATTACAAAATATGAATCAGAACAAGACGATAAGTGAACTGTAAATTTTTCACTTTATTTCAAATTCATCCTCAGACAGAATGTCTGATAAAGAAAATCTTAAAATAATAATAGTAATGGGAGCATAATAGTGCAGTAATATTTCAATAAGCATGTTCCTCTTAAAAATAAACTAACATTGTTTAGGATGATACAAAATACTTCACAACATTAAAGTACTAAGTACTAAATATTCTTTTAGTTACGAAACACATCCACAAAGCATTGCCGATACTTTAGAACTTTTAACGGTGTAAAGTATTTACCGCTGAAATCTCCTTGAAAAATCAACGTAAACCTGGTCGCCATAAACGTGGTTTTTCGGGGACGCAAATCAGATTATCTTGGACAGCCTGTCCGGAATCGCTTCAATTTAACAATATTGAATGTATGTGATTCTGAACTATTTTAATATTTTTTGGAAGTAATGTGAAATTATCCGAGTCAGGGGCTGTTCACATGAGCCCGGTAACCGGGATTCACTGAGGAGTGAAATGATTCTGAGTCATTGAAAGGAGTAAAACCTTCAAATGCAAAACTTATAACCTTTTCTTAGGCCTCATAAGTTATTTTAGATGCAATCTTCAAATCAAGCTAATTTAATTGTTTTCATTTTAATGATTTTGTGAATTTGCAAAGTCACAGCATAGACAAATTGCTCAAATAGCTAATTTTCAGCGAAGCGTTCAACCATTTTGGTCTAACGCTTCGCTGAATCCGCAAATGGGCCCATATAATCAGGCCCTTAGTACAGTGAGACTACCATATGAAAAAAACAAACGGCGCAATGCATGATGATAATATAAGATATGAGTACCTTATATAGTTGGATTTGGTCATCCGAATTGTCGAATACTCGACTTGCTGTTTTTATGAGATGATCAATGAGAGAGCAGTCTTCGGTGTCTCCTACACAAACAAAAACACAATGTTGACATTTTTCTTTAATTCAAGACTTAAAACAACAAGTATTATGAGATGTGTATATATTTTGGGATATTTAGAAGTCTATATTTGGTGTCACGTTCAACGCAGGAGACTGTCAAACGAAACTTCTCTGAAAAAGTTTTAACAATGGCAACGTGTCCCTGAAAAGCAAAGACAGAAGTTGGACTTCTTTGTGCACTTTGTTAAGAGTTATTACAATAATAAAAATGAAATAATAATCTGATTGAAATCTCAGTCATAACAGGTTCTTATGTGTGGGATTTTACGGTACTTTTTTTTGCCCTCAATCGCACGTCGTTGTTAAAGACAAGCGACGTGTAGGATCAACAATACAATTTCATTACGGAGGGGAAAATGTTTAAATATAAGAGGGTACCTGCATTAGAGATGCGCCTAATGGAAGCTTGAAAAAGAGAGGAAAGAAGCTGGGTAGCAACTTCCGCTGGCCGTAATCCAGACAAATAGTGAAGTACCTATAATAGATACATATAAACATACGTATGGCTTTACAATGAAGACATATTTTTTCGAACAACAAAGGTAGTATATTGTAAACTTTCAACCAACCTTTTCAGCTTCCTTGGTTTCGTCAAACAACCTCTTCTGCCGTCGTACGGGGCATCCGCGTGCATTGTTCCAGTTTTCCTGCCAAATATTTCCGGGAACACGCATGCGCAAACTCAATCGACCATTTTCACGGAAATTCTAAAAAAAACATTGCCTGTAAAAATCGACACAGACTGTATTCGTAAAAATCGATAACTACTGCCCGAACGCTAACCTTTGACGAATCGTGAAAGTAGTTTTCTGTAAATTTCCCATCTTCCTCGTCAAAACCTTCCTTCTGGTATAAAATTTCTATAAAACCGAATTAAATTTGTTAATTTCTGAGCTATGTAAGATGATTAAAAAATGACGACCTTTTCCTATATTTTGTAATTCCATGCTGAACTTCTTCTCATCTTCAGTCTCCTCCCCTCGAAGCCAGTCGTTAGGCGAATACCAGCGAACGAAATCCTCCAAAAAACATCCGGGGTTCGCTGCCTGAAGACAACAATGCAATATAAATAATTGCGTTATGTAAACGGAAGAAATTTGTAATGTTGATTGGAAGGGGAAATAAAGGCTGCTTGGAATAACCCTGTATTTGTATAAGTTAGGACACGTTTTGTTCTCTGGATTTTGTATTATGTTCATGACGATTGAGTAAATTGTTTTATGTTGCGTTGTCAATATTACAAATCAAACTATCGAAGAAAGTAAATGTACGTGTGCTTCTTTGAGGCAATAACAGAATTGAAAGACATCTACTGTCTTAAATAAATGCTTTTGTATTGTTAAGATACCCATAAACAACAAAATTGCCAAAAGACAAAGGTAGCGATCGCTGCCTAGTCAGAAATACGAAAATAGAAACAAAAAGATATTCTGTGCAAGGTAGACATGAATAAATGCTGTGTTAGTGTTGTATCAAAATGACAGAGGCTCATGATAACATCTTGGAAAATCATTTCGAAACGCTTGTGGAAGACGAAGAAAGCCTTATTCGATACTATTTTCACAGAAGCTTTGAATACAGGGACATTTTATCAATTCTATTGCAAAATCATGGTATTCAATTGAGCATGTCGACTTTAGAACGCCGTCTACGAACGGAACATATGGTACATTAATGTTTATACGACCACTGTTGAAAGATTTAGATCCTGAAAAGTCTGAAATGAGAAGGTGTCATTGGTTGCAAAGGTGAAGATATCAACTAACATTTCCTGTTTGTCATATGGTGGGTTACGAAGCCTTTAAGGATGTCTTCTTAATTGCATTTTCCAAAGGCCAGGCGTTTGTAAACCATAACTTACAACATCATATTTTAATGCCTTACTGATTATTTTTCAAAATAGCAAGTAGATGCATGCCAAAACAAAGTGTATGGACAGTGCAGGAACAGTAGCTAGAATATATGACTGTGAAGTAAAAGATTGGTCAGACATCCCAAGTACTTCAAAGTTTGTTTATTGTACCATTTTGGTGTACAATTAAAAGATTGTTCATTGTTATTTGAAGTAATGCAAACATTGTAGTGATTTTTGTGGTGAGGAAGTTCACATTTGCTCATATTAACATACCTGAACTTAAAATGAGTAAGACAACTCTTCTTTGCCCAATGTATTGCCCCTCAACAAGTAAAAATCAGTAAAGATTAAGCTTGAAAACCTTTTTCAATTTATGTGGTAATAATCAATAACGACAATTTTTGCATATCGTTTGAAAAAGTGATGTGCAATTGTTTTCATTTTAGCCAAAACGATGTGCAAATTGTACATTGCACACCGTTAATTCGCACACTGCATCTAAACATTCTTGAAGTATGTGGGAGAACGAAAACTATAAGCACTTTATCTCAAGTTCTGAAGTCAGATCTAGGGCTCTGTTATCCACAGTGTCTTTGAAGAAATTTATCCAACAAGCTGTATGTGATCTTCTTAAGAACGCCCACCAAGCCTCTATTCCTTGGTTTCGTGGAGATGGAACATATCGATGACTATCTGGGTCTTCTCTAAAAAATGACTGGATTGCTGCCATTGTACCATTTTCTGTGCCCAAGTCTGTTATAAGGTCAACTGAACATCCGCCATACAGTTCTACAGCATCTATTGCATAATATGCAGCTGTTATTAGGTCGGTTATTTGATGTAGTTATACTATACGATGTAGTTAACTATAGTATTTTACTACTCCAGCCATCAATACAACCATGAATAGGAAATGCACATGGCTCTAATTTATCGTACCCATCACGATGCCACCAATAGTTCCCACCAGGATTTTGATATCTTCTCCTTTGCAAGCAATGACACCTTCTCATTTCAGACCCTTCAGGATCTAAATCTTTTAACAGTAGTCGTACAACATTTCTTGGTAACCTCATTTCTCTACATTGCAGTGAATGCCATATAGATCTATATCCTTGCAGACGCCCTGTACCATCAATAATTCTTGCAATAGCAGCTCTTGCAACCTCAATGTCATAATCTGGTAGCTGCCGCTTAAGTCCATATGTTCCTTTCGTAGACGGCGTTTTAAAGTCGACATGCTCAATTGAATACCATGATTTTGCAATAGAATTGATAAAATGTCCCTGTATTCAAAGCCTCTGTGAAAATAGTATCAAATAAGGCTTTCTTCGTCTTCCACAAGCGTTTCGAAATAATTTTCCGAGATGTCATCAGGAGCCGCTGCCAAAAACAAAACACAAATTCTTTTTTGTCTTAATATGGCAAACTAAACTTTCACAAATGAGACTTAACACGAAGTATACACAACTTTTTGAAAATTACATTTTTGTAAAGGAAGCCATAGCCAACCATAACTATAAGGCATTTTGCTGTTGTTGTTTGTTTTGGTATGTCATGAATGTGCCAAAAACTAAAGCGTTTTTGTTTCAAAGTAGAATAAAAATGCGCATAAAATTCGAAAAAAACCCATCAGTTTTGTAAATGTCTTTTTACCCAAAACAATTGTTATTAATGTTTTTCTGTGGAATTTACAGAAAATCACAATTTAGTTCAAACTTACACAAGATTTGGTTTTAAAAGATAAAGTAGATAATATATAATACTCGTCACAAACTCCCAAACTAAGGGCTTCTGTAAATAGGTGTACGTAGAAATATTTCATGGAGAAGCATGTATATTATTGAATACATGCAGTTGAATCTTTTCAAAATAAACAAGTACTTGCTGCAATGTTTCCGATTTGTATAAATTGAACGATCAACGATGTCATTGTTTTTCACAGTTTCTACACTTTGATAATTTCCATTTCGAAATAGGTATTCAATAGGAAGCATCATAATTGACTTAACAAAGACTAGGCCCCATTACCTTCAATGCCACAATACTTTTCTGCGTTTATTTTTTGAATAACACGAGAAAAAGACTTCGGTAAAAACATGTTTTTTTAACAAATCTCGCTAACGTGTAGATTTGCGCGTGCAATACACGTAAATTGACCTCCAGACACGCGTGAAAAATTATTAGGCTTTTCTATTACAGGTAGCCTTCCATCTATTACAGTTCAATGACTTAACTGCAGACTTTACTGGCTGTAATAAGATATGCATTACACAAAAAATTGCATGGGTAATAAGATATGCGTTACACAAAAAATTACATGTGTAATAAGATATGCGTTACACAAAAAATTACATGTGTAATAAGATATGCGTTACACTAAAAATTACATGTGTAATAAGATATGCGTTACACAAAAAATTACATGCGTAATAAGATTGCGTTACACAAAAAATTACATATGTAATAAGATATGCGTTACACAAAAAATTACATGTGTAATAAGATATGCGTTAAACAAAAAATTACATGCGTAATAAGATATGCGTTACACTAAAATTACATGTGTAATAAGATATGCGTTACACAAAAAATTACATGCGTAATAAGATATGCGTTACACAAAAAATTACATGCGTAATAAGATATGCGTTACACTAAAAATTACATGCGTAATAAGATATGCGTTACACAAAAACATTTCGATAGAGTGGGACTACTGTTTGTTTTTTGACTGTGGCTCTGCTGCTGGACGGTCTCAAAATGGCAAACAGGGCATATAATACAGCAATAAATCTATAAATTCTAATTAAAATACAATATAAGATTGTGAATAGTGACTGTAATATTTCATGTATTTTTTTCATTAAATTGCAATATTAAAGTTTACAGAGTATGGCACTTGTTGAAAGAACTTATAAGCAATGTCCATTTTTGAGGGCTAAAAACACGATGTAGAACATTTTCCTGTGTATCTCTGAGAAATGTAGTGAAACACTATAACAGCACATGATTTCAGAAAACATAAAGTTACCTTGTAAGGCACTATATATACTATACTATAATGTAAGGCGTAAAGCCAGTCGAAGAGTCACCCTGCTGACAGTGATACATCTAGCCCGCGAATTCGGTTATGCTATGAAACTATTGTTTTTACAGAGAGTGAACACCGAAAATTTTACACAGCATGAACAGACTTGTGGACTGGCTAAGCCAATGCCTTTCCCTAGCTTTAATAACAGGTGAGCGGAGAAAAGTCCCTAGTAGTTAGTTACCTTGAAAGCTTGCATATCAGACATAAGGGAAGCGCTCTGCATTTGAGCTCGAATTCTCGCCCCTTCTTCACTCGTTCCTAGTCGTGTAAGAATATCTGCATGAGCTTGTAACATGTCTTCTGTCATCGGTGCAGGTTCCTTCATTCATAAATATAAATTTAAAAACAGTTAATCACAACAAACACATGTAATGATAAAGACCTTCGTCGCCATTGACAACTGGAAGGCGCGTAAGTAATACGACAAAGGATTTTGTGCTTGTTATTCCGATATACATTCAAGATGTAGAGTATGACAGTAGCTGTGTTGAGGAGATGTAGAGTATGACAATGCCTGTGTTGAGGAGATGTTCAGTACGACAGTACCTGTGTTAAGGAAATGTACAGTATGACAGTACATGTGTTGAGGAGATGTACAGTAGGACAGACCTGTGTTGAGGAGATGTACAGTATGACAGTACCTGTGTTGAGGAGATGTTCAATATGACAGTACCTGTGTTGAGGAGATGTTCAGTATGACAGTACCTGTGTTGAGGAGATGTACAGTATGACAGTACATGAGTTGAGGAGATGTACAGTATGACAGTACATGTGTTGAGGAGATGTACAGTATGACAGTACCTGTGTTGAGAAGATGTACAGTATGACAGTACCTGTGTTGAGGATATGTACAGTGTGACAGTACCTGTGTTGAGGAGATGTACAGTATGACAGTACATGTGTTGAGGAGATGTACAGTATGACAGTACCTGTGTTGAGGAGATGTACAGTATGACAGTACCTGTGTTGAGGAGATGTACAGTATGACAGTAGCTGTGTGAAGAAGATGTACAGTATGACAAGATCAATGTTATTAAGATGTATTTAAGAGTACCTGTGTTATGGGTATGTAAAGTGCTTCGCCTGATTTTATCAATTTAAGATCTCCGCAACGTTTCAACGCTCCTCGCGTTTTATCGCAATTTCAGTTGTAGCTGTCCACGCTTCAGATTCCTCATCTGATCCATCTTGATCCTCCAAGGCTTCAAAGAACTCTTCGTCACTACTGTCATTAACGTTATCGTGGGAACTTCGACTCCATGGATGCTGCAGAGGAATGTGCTGCTGATGTTTTAACGCTTCTTGGGTGTTTTTCTTTGACAAACACTTGCGAGCAATACAGCAGTTTAGCATCTACACAAACAAAATGATGTTCATCAAGATACATAGTATAAATATAATTGCCCAATATAAAACTTTAAATAAGGCCATGGTTATATAATTTTATTAACATTAATGTTTCGTCTTTAGCCTAAGACATCATTAGATTACAATACATGCATGTAGCAAGTTAGAAAACATTTATACTAATTATGCAATATTTACAGGGTGTTAAGTTACAAGGTACAGTGATGATATGACAGTGTTGTGTGATTTTTTTGTTAAGGAATAGAGTGGGGTTGAATGGGGTTGAATGGAATTAGATAAGATTTAGTAGGATGGAACTGCCTTAGACATTAAGAGATGGTTTAAGCTTGGAGATGAGGAGACTTTCGTGGATGGATAGTTCGTATGCATTAGGAGAGGATGATAGAATGTCGAAGTCGTCAAAGTCAGTGGAGTGATTATTGGTTTTGAGATAGGAGAGTACACTGGAACTGATTGGACTAGATGAAGTTTTTCCTGTCATAGGAGAGATACCCAAATGTTCCGATACCGTGGTGTGTAAATGGCCCGTAGTTTGACCCACGTACGACGCAGAACAGTGTCGACACTTAAATAGATAAACAACACCAGATTTCAGAAGTTTGTGAACTCTATCTTTGAAAGGAAAGAAGGATGAAAGGCGTGTAGAAGAGCGAAAGACAAAGCGAGTATTGAGGTGAGGATAAGCAGCATTGCAAAGTCGAGTGATTTGGGTGGGAATATGAAGGAGTGTAAGCCGGTGAAGGTAAGGACAAAATACATGATTTTCTTTGGTGCAGTGTGCATGGGAGGTTTAGGTTCGAAAAGGTTATTGAGGAAACGTCGGAAAACTTTATCGAAGAGTTGAGAAGGGAAACTATTTGAGTGAAACAGTTTTCGAATGACTTCAAGTTGACGATGAAAGTTCTCGTAGGTGGAGCAACGATGGAAAGTTCGGTGAATGAGGCAAGAAACTTTGGAGCGAGTGTATGTTAGAGGTATGAAGCTGTGGAAGTTTGTAAAAAGACCAGTAAATGTAGGTTTTCGGCAAACAGAAGTAGAGAATGTGCAATTAGAACGCGCTATTTCGACGTCGAGGAAGGGAAGTTTACAGTCATTTTCTTATTCGGAAGTGAAACGAATGTTTGGATGTTGTTGGTTAAGGACCATCTCTTAACGTCCAAGGCAGTTCCATCCTACTAAATCTTATCTAATTCCATTCAACCCCACTCTATCCCTTAACAAAAAATCACACAACACTGTCATTACTATATCTTGTAATTTAACACCTTGTAAATAATGTATAATTAAGGCCTGTTCATATGAGCCGGGCTGGCCCGCTTTACCGGATCAGCCCGGCAGTATCGAGATCTCGCCTCTTTTAGTATTCAAATATAATTTCAAAATTGACGGGCTGGCCCGTCTTGACGGGATCTCGCTTGAGCGAGGCGGAATCTCGGCATAAACGGGTTCATGTGAATGCACTAGGCGGGCTAGCCCGCATGCCGAGCCAAACATCGTACTAGTGCGCATGCTCATAAAATTCAATTCGATGCAAAATAGACGGCAAGCAAAAGAACAACTTTCGGTTGACCATAGACTAATACATAACATCAATGAGTTTCTTTCAGCTTATAAAAGTAACATAAAATATCAGGATTTGGACTTTTATGCTGCGTGCGTGTTTAATTATTTCTGTATTTGCCGGGCCAGCCCGCCTCATCTGAATTAAATAATAAACTGGCCCGGCAAAGCGAGCCAAGCCGGCAAAGCGGGCAGCATGGCTCATATGAACAGCCGCTTAGAGTGTGTGTCCACATGAGCCCGGTAGCCGGGATTCAGCAAGGCTTGATATGATTTTGAGTCATTGAAAGGAGCAAAAAACTTTAAGTGCAAAACTTGCAACATTTTTCTTAAGCGTCAAAAGTTATTTCAGGTGTAACTTTCAAATCAGGCTAAATCATTTGTTTTCATTTTAAAGGTTTTGTGAATTTGTAAAGTCGTAGCATAGAAAAATTCCTCAAATAAGCGTAATCTTTTCCATTTGCCAAAATGCTTTAACGCTTCGCTGAATCCCGGCTACCGGGCTCATGAGAACAGCCCTTTAGTATGTTTTCTAATTTCCTACATGGATGTATTGTAATCTGAAGATGTCTTAAGCTAAAGATGAAGCGTTTTGTTAATAAAATTATATACCCATGGCCATATTAAAAGTTTTATGTTGGGCAAGTATATTTATACAAAGAATTCGCTTTCCACCTGGCAAATCCATTGTCACAATATACATAATAAAAAGATAAAATAAGTTGGCTGAGTTTGAGGAATACACTTCTAAAGGTGGTTTGAAAAATAAAAATATCTATAATCGTATATTCAACAGCCGTAAAAAGGCCAATTGTATATGATGCTTGGCAGTCAATGCCGAAGACAGCAGGGCAATACATAGTCCAGAGTTTCGTTATTTGACACTAATTGGCTAATTAATACCGGAGGTCATGCAATACATCCGCCGTAAATTTTTAGCTAAAATCAATTAAGCTCGTTACTAGAAGTCAGGGTTTGCACGCAGTCTAGCTCATCAGTCCTCCTAGGAAAAGGTTTGGGATGCAAATTAGTCATTTTGTCTCTTCCACTATAATTGGCATTTTTACTGTTTAGTTGAAACAATAGATATCCAATGCAAAGAATTACTATAGAGTTCTTAAATTTACATAGCAGGACACAAACTCGCGGGCTGGCTACGCTGGTTGCTAAAGCTACTGGCAAACGATCTCAACCAATAGAACCCAATCTACCTAGATATGTGACTACGACAAAATTCTATAGTTAAAAGTGAGGTAAGCCGCCATCTCGAAAGGTAGCCAAGCTGGCGATATTTAAAGGTAATATCTGCTTTTGCAGTGTTTCAATACAGTTGCAAAGTCGATTGTCAAGGTTTGATTTAAAAAACATTTGACAGGATTGCTCTATAAACTTTCTTCTAACTTATTTTTCATTTTGAGTTATGCTTTTTCCCACTTTTCAACATGGCGTCGTTGCCTCACATTGACAAAAGTAGTTAGACATCTAGCGGTATTGAGGGGCATTGAGCGGTATTGAGTGTAGTTGAGAGAAGTTTGAACATGTTCAGAAGAATAAGTTGAATGTCCCGTGGTAGGTTTATTGGCGGCTGGAGGGTTTATGAAGAGATTTACTGTATATGAGTTTCAAGAAATCACCTACACTGGACAAGCAATACAACAACATGCATCACAAATATGACAGGACAAGACCAAATTGTTTCGACTGGTAGGTTTCGCTAAAACGAGTCATGTGTCTGAACGCAAATCCCGTGTCGATACGTTCAGGGAATCGATGCCTTTGTCGAGCGCAACAATCGAAATCGATTATGGTGATGCAGTGAAAGAAATCATGTCATAGAAACTATATAACAACTTCTCTGCCTTTGTCGTCCACAAAAAACACTATGCTATATAAAATTTTACCTGCAGCTTCTGATGGATTAAACAACAATCATGATTCGGAGTCTGAAGATCGAGTCTATAATGAGTTAATTATAAATTAGTAATTATTTCATGGATCTTTTTTTACAGTTATCAGAACTCACCTAGGCAATAAAACGCCTTTTTCCCAACGATATCTCATCTCAAGAACAAATACTTGCCATAAATACGCCACGGCTCGTAATCCTTTACGATAAAAAAATCTCCTTGAACAATTAACGCAGTTAAGATGTCGAGTAAACTTGTTTGCGGAAAAAACCTACCTCCATAGCTATGGTTCAAAAGGCAAAAACAAACCGCCAACGAATAAGTTAAACTGTCCTTTGGAGAACCTTTCAAACCTCGATACTTGTCCTAAAACAAAAAAAATCAAACAAGAACTTTTATTATAGTGAACAGACAACAGACAGAAATTTATGTTATTTGGCAACCATTAAAGTGTAAATCAAGTGAAATTTTAGTTCTCTAATTGCATTGTCTTAATCAACAATACTTGCTCTCAGTAGTAATATACATGGGGGTACGAATCCATAAAAAGTTTACTTTTTATGTATTCGAATCCCCCATGTATATTACTACTACACCCGTGGGTATAAAAGCGTAAATTAGGACCATGGTATAAAAACGTCCCTCTGGTAAAAGGTCATGTAAAAAAGCTGTGTAAAAAATAGTCATTGTTTCAAAGGGGGTAAAAATCTCGAGGTTACAATTAATCGTTTAAAAACGGTCTTTACAAACAAATGTTAAGAAAGCATCGGTTCGGAGGGGGATCGGCAGCGCAGATTTTAGCGTAGCTAAAATTGAGCAGGGGAATGGATCCCCCGAGAATTCTGGAACCCAGGTGGGGAAATTTTTTCACTTCGTGAAAAAATCGGGGTTCCACCTTAGATTCGATGAATATTCGAAGAATATTCGAGAATAACAGAGGCTTAAAAAATGCTCTTCAAAAAACCGTCTTTAATAATCAAGTGTTAATAATCAAGCGTTATTAAAATATCAGTAGCAGCGCGCTTTATAGTCGACTGGTATATTGGATTAACTAGTGGCCTTTAACAATGGTCTGAAAACTCAGCGCGTGGTAGAAATATTCTTTAATAATCAAGCGTTAATAAAACATCTTTTTAAATCATTGTTAGGGGTGAAGAATTTCAGGCAACTAAGCCTGAAATTTTGAGCGCAACAATGTCATAGATGCTCTTTACAAAATATGGAATCTATATGTTTTTTAATTTGTCTGTCAGGCGCGTGTCTTAGTGCATGTTTTTAACAATGGTTGTTTAATGTAATAGCACATTTCATCAGCGCATGTATAATAATACAATGTTTTACAAAATATGGAATCTATATGTTTTTTTAATTTGTCTGTCAAGCGAGTGTTATATAATTTTTGTTAAAAGTGTTTTTAATAATTGTTTCAGGATTTTGAATCTTTTTGTATATCGCTTTTGTATTAATTACTTATTACAAACAGTTATGTGATATGTAGTCAAACATGAGGAGCAGGTATGTATGATTTTACTCTAACAGAGGCCCACGCTACATGCTTACTACACATTATAACTGTATATTAAAATAAGTTTTAATTATCATTTAAATAATGACCATAAGCTCTAGTATTTATACCATCATCTAATATACCGTTTATCATCAAAACAGCTAAGTGATACTTTATTAATTTCATAACTACTAAGTTGATGGTTTACACTTCTAATAGTTTTCATTGTATGATGTATTTGTTTATTTTCAAATAGTGTTTGTTTATAGTCTTCATGTTTTATTTTGTTTTTAATAATATTTTTCTTAATTCCTTTAGCTTTTTATCTCCTTTATTATTATCTTTAATATAACTATACATCTTGCTTCTTAAACCAACAAATCTTTAATTATATTTCCAGCAGCTTCATCTTTCATTTTACCAATAACTTTTTATTAGTATTATCATAATATTTATGGTATTTATCATAATCACTGTTATCAAATTTATCTTTATCACTCCAAAATCTTGATAGACATCATTAGTTTCAATTTCATATGTTAAACTATCTGTATCTGTGAATAATAATTTAGCTTTATCACCATACCGATTTTGATATAGTTGTAATGAAAATCATACATCAAAGTTTTACTTAAATCTAAGATACACATACCCACATATGCAGGTCTGTTGAGCACCAATTGTTCTTTGATCTTATGCACAGCCACAAGGTTCTCATTGAAAATTTTACTACTTACATAAGTAGGTTTTGAAGCTAATTTTAATAATTTATTTTTATTAGTTACTAGTCTAACATCTACTCTTTTTCGTAAGTTTTCCATCGTCTTACCAAAAACACTGTTATTCATGAGTTTGAAGAAGTCTTTTCAAAAGAATTTTTGCATTAGTTCTTTTTGAGTATTAAAGTCTATGTATTTTTTCAACCATGGAGATTGATTGAATTCAAGTACTCTATGTACTTTTTTTAATTTTAACCCAAGATCTAAATATAGTTGAAGATTTCTATAATGTAAAACGTATTTGTATTTATTTTGTAATGTAGGTATTAATTTTGAAACTAAACCTGTTGATATATTGTAATTAGAAGCAATTGTCTTACAATATTTTGACAGCATGTTGCTAGTTACCTTAATTTTTTCAGGTCCTAGTGGATAATCGTTATGTAAATTATGTAGTTCTTCAGGGTATTCTAAATCAACTTCTAAAATTAAACCTTTTTTACTATCTGCTTGATATTTAGCAAGGTTTATGTTGTTAATCTGTTTATCAGTTAACCATTTGAAATTACCAGTAGGTAAATTTTGTGACATAGCCCATCCATACAGATTGTTAGCGTCAAGATACATTATATATTTTGAGGGTTTATTCTTATCAAATGTTTCCATATACTTGTTATTAGCTTTACCATATCGGTTAGAAATATAAGAAATACCTCCTCTCATACCTTTTTCAATGAATTGAAACATGTCAATATCTGTCATTAATTCTAATTTAATATCTGTCATCTTTAACATAGCATCCCAGCTTAATCCCGGACTCGTGAAATAATGACATGGGTCTAAGTTATAATATTGAAAACATGTTTTTCGAAAGTTTTCAAATACATCAGCTAATAACAAAACATCAGATTTCAGATACAAATCGTGGTAATCACCCATGTTTTTGAGATTGAATGTATTCCAAACATTTTGAGCATGATTATAAGAATCATCTGATATATATTCATCAGTAAGAATACTATAAAAATCTTTTTTTGAAGGTAACCCCTCATAAAACTTTTCAAAACTATCCATATAATCATATGGGTATATACCTTTCCTAGCCATTAGATTAAGTTTTTCATCTTTAAACTGATTAGAGGTATATTTAAATAACTCTTTAGGTAAATTACTAACAAGTTTATCAAGACTAGTGCTCATAAATTGAAAACTATCAAGAAATGTTAAATGGTTTCCTAACATAAAAGCCATATATTTTTCCATATTATTTGGTATACAACTTATATTCATCTGTTTTTCCTCACCTTTTTTGTTTTTGTATGTATGTTTATTAACAATAGCTCCGATTTCTTGCATAATAAAATGACTATCATATCCACGCAGATTGTGAAATATTACTGGGATTTTTAATTTATTAGGGTCTATTCTAAGTTTTAAATTACAATCTTGATGAGCCGATCCTCTGTATTTACCAGTGATATGACAATGATCTCTAACTTGAATGTCTTTGTTAGTATATTTTTTGTTACAGATATGACATTCATCAGCTTTTTTAAAGTCTTCTTCATCATCAGATGTCATTTTTAATGGTTTATTAAAGTGGGTTTTCATAATATGTTTACAATATTTAACTTCTTTTAACATAGCTTCCATAAATTTGTAAACAGCTTTTTCACCTCTATATAGTTGAATTTTTTCGTAAATTTATCATCATAACAACAAACAACTTTATATCCATAGCTGCAGTCTGTGTGCTTTTGATAGGCTTCAGTGAATGATTTTTTATTATTCTGATTACAACCAGATATCTTTTCTGTAATAGCTTCAAAGTCTGCATATATGACAAATGGTACTGGTTGTTGCTTATGATAGTTGTTGAATTTAAGTATGTTATTATTTTTATCAGGCATTCTTACTGATTGTATACCATTTATTAGTATACAGTTTTCTATATGGTCATTTAATATTTTTTCAGAACTAAAACATTGAAGACAGCGCATACAAAAGTGTTTTCTTTCCTTATGCTTTGTTTGATTATACATAAATGCATTAAAATCTTTTATTAATACATAATGTTTGTTTTCATTATCAGTTATCAATAGTAGTTCCATATGGTCTTCAAATTTTTCTTTTGATATATAAATGGGGTATGGTTGCTTATTTTCATAACCGAATACATTAATGTTAATTTTGTTTTGTTTTTCGATTTTATTATATTGTTTAACAGTCACTGGAAATTTAATCCCAGAGTAGTCTAATTTGTTAATATATTCCTTATCAGATTTTTTTATTCGGTATGAGTGTTTATTTTGTGAGTTTAAATAACGAATATGACACCATCTAAAACATTCATTATCTGTATTTTTGATATTAATTAATCCTTTTTTAGAGTTTTTAAGTTCTTGTGGTAAATTAATATATGAAGATCCTTGTAATGGCTTGTATTTAACAACATTAAGATAATGATTATCTATAGATTTAATAATCCATGCAGAACCTTCTTGATTGAATTTACTAATTTTATCTAATATATTTTGTTTTGAAATTTGTAGTGATTCAGTAATATTTTCATTATTTGTAATTGTTAAAGCTTGACTGTTGAAATAACCAATTTCTATTATATGATCAACATCACCATTATATTTTATTTTAATTCTTTCAAATGTTATTTTAAGAGTTTCAGTATATTTAAGGCCTACCATTGATGTTAATACTTCTTTAATATAATATGTAAGATACTTTCTAGTGTTCTGCAATTGTTTTAATGGATCTTTATTGCTCATAATACTTATTTCATATGATTTAGTAAATCCTTTAAGCGCATTGTTTGTTTCTCTTATTTTAACTCTTTTTGTTGGTACTGGTTTCTTATTTTTATCTGATAGCATCTGTGTATTATTCTCATACTCTTTAACCATTTCTTTAACACTCTTTCTTGGTTTGGGGACTGGTGTTAATACTTTGATTAATTCGTTTTTTATAAGTTTATAATAACCTTTAACCTTTTTCTCTTTAGCAATAGCTTTTAATTGTTGTACAGTCATTTTTTTAATATTGGATTGTGATAGTACTTTTTGTACTGGTTTGGAAATTGAAGTATTATTAACTTCAACCCACGGCTTTTGATTTAATATTAAATT